CCTACAGGACTTTATTCTGAACCTATTCAGACCTTCCTAAATAAACAGCAGCTTCACCAAAAGCTATTGAGGTCCCCCAGGACTAAAATTGGTTTATAGGAGGTCCAGGTGTGGGATGCAGATTTGTTTCTAGTTGTCCGTCCTTCCAGGCCTCGACCACTTTTTGCTCCCTGAAGCTGGAACCTAGCTCTTGCTCACGGTGTGAACACAGTCTTTCTTGTCCACAGTCCATCTTGTCCGCGGTCCTTCATCCAAACAAACCACAGAAACACAACATGGACTTCCAGCACTGACCATCCCGTGTGCTGACAGCCACATCCCTGCCAAAAAGGCAGTGAGGAAGGAGCCTGGGTCCAGGCTGCTCAAGCAAGGTGGAAAGAGAGGGGACATCCATAAAGCTTTTTGAAGAAAACATCCCTATCGCCGTCTAGGGATCTGCGGCTCCTGAATTGAAGTGCAGAGAACAGGTTGATGGCAGCAGCTATTTTAAAATTCATGAAGTCTTAAAGCATTACTGGATGATTTCAGTGCTGGGAGCTAACTAGACAAAATAGCCCAACAGGGGGGAGATGCTGATGTAGTAGCAGCCATAATAGTGCGTGATGCCGCATACATCCTTGCTTCTGAAAACCCACTCATCCGTCTTGTCAGGGGAAATTGCTGTGATTCTGCTTCATAGCAGAGGTGGTGGGAGGAAGGAGGCAGATGCGTATTTTCCTCTGATCAAGGAGAAAGGCCAGGCCATGCCCCACTTATCCTCCTGAAGCCACCCTGGCCTCCAAGTGAAGGCCTTCGAGACTGGTGATGGCAAATAATCAGTAAGGAGGGCGTGAGTGGCCATGTCCCAAGAGAAACAAGGCTTTGGATCTCCTCTGCTAGCACTTGAGAGATGCTTTTCCCTTGCTGCCCCAGTGTGCCCCTCTTTGTCCGCTTGCCCAGGACTGAAGAAAATGCCAAGACAAAACAAGCTGGGAGCCAGCGGGCTCCTCCTGCGCTTTGCCTTTCAGCTCAGGGTCACACAGGCTGAAAACTTCTGGGTGAAGGTAAATCTCTGCCAGCCAGGACAAATTCTGACAAACAGCTTAAATGCCTGATCTACGTACCTGTACGCAAAAGCGTTATCCAGAATGCCCCAGCTCAGCTGCTGCCTCAGCCTGGAGGCAGGTCAGAGCAGCCCCGCATGGGCATGCTTTAGCCAGTGAGATGCCCCATTACATCCCAGAGGGTCCTCATACTGCTCTCAACATGCAGCTAAACCAGCCCAACAGCATGGGAAGTGTGGGGCGGGGATGGGAGGGTTTGCACCTCCACCTGAACGTGGGTGCCTACATAATGAGGGGCATCTCTTTAGGTTCTTCCCATAGCAGAGATGGAGCAAACGACTGTATTTACCTTCATGCCCCTGCCCATCCCTCCCCCTCGAGTGCCCATCAGCTTCTGCCCAAAGTCTCTCCCTGTATCACAGCAGGGCCCCTTCGCCAGGGGCAGCAGGAGGAACCAGAGGTTGGTGCCTAACGCTCTTTTTCACCTGGCCTTTGAGGACCATGGTGAGATGCAGACAGGTCCAGTACATATTATCTGACCTTTTAGCATGTTTTGTGCCCATATGAGCTGGATACCTTTAGCAACTTGCTCAGTGAAACCCTGTACTGGATACAGGAGTAAGAAATCAAGCTTCATCGTTTCCAACAACAAAAGCTACAGTTGAAAAAACAACCAAAACCATATTACAGCGGTAATTTCTCTTGGAAAAAAATTTATTATGCCTGATTTCAGGATAGTGAAATGCTGCATAAACATCTCACTTGTGACTTTTCAACTCCCCTTCAAATTTCACCATGAACATGTGGCCTGTGCGGTAAGTTCTAGCCTGCCAGGAAAGTGGTCATTCTCATCAACCCCATCCCCCTGCTCCCCTCGAGCCACCAACCCTCACAGAAAATAAATATTTAAAATGTGTTTTAAACAGTACTTGGATTTGTCCAGGCTGTCACCATGCTTTGGCACTTACATGGATTAACTCAAGAGTTTTGGACCCGGTTTGCAGCCCCAAGTTCCAGTCTGTTCCTGCAGGTCTGGAGCTGCCTCCCTTTGGCTCTCCCGTTCCCTTTGGTAGAGCAGCACAGGGCCTCCAGAGAGGAGATACACAGGTAATGTGCCTGGACTGATGTACAAACATGTGGCTCTGGGTGGGGAATAGCGCTACTGGCATCCCACGCCCCTACCCAGTGCTAACAAGGGCCTTGGATGCTTCCTCGCAGAGCATCATCCTTAACTTGCTCAGTCACTCTTCACTGAATTACCACCATCAGAAAGACTTTCAGCTGCAGATCAAGAGTGGAGGTGTGCCAGAAAGCTTCAGGTCCCAGGGGTCAGAAACAACACAGACTGCCCGCTAGCTGCAAGGCCCAGCAGTGTCCCTGCAGCACAGGGACTTACCCAGCAGCTACCTGCCTTTCCTAACAAATGGAAGGAAGAAAATAGTCTTTGGACTTCATCTATGAGTTTTTTTTTTTTAAAAAAAAAAAAGAAAATCCTACTGGAGTTGTGTGGAGTTGTGCTTCAGTGAGGACAGCAAGTTTCCCCCCGTACAGACTAGTCTACTTCCACACTTTCTACTCAGCATGGAGCAGAGTTTTATCTTTTACCAATACCATGCACATACTTCAGAGGCATATTTGAAGTGTAAACCCCATGTTCCATGCTCAGACATCCAGCAAACAGTTAATAAACCCCATTCTAGTACAGTTTAGAGCTTACGTAAATAAGAGTAAAAAGTCTGACCAGTTTCCAATGGCTACAAAATTGCCCTGGGGAATATAAAGATGCAATTCCTTTCAAATGCAGCTATTTTCTGTTAAGGGAACCTACGCATCAGTCCTTCTCATCACACATCTCCAGAGAAAGCAACAGCCATCCCACACACTCCTCTGCTGCGGATTGCTCAGCACTTTGTCCCATGGTAATCTGCAGGAGAAACTCAACCCTCCTGTTAAATGCTTTGGGCTCAAAAGATTAATTCTGTGGGATAGATCTCTAAAGTGCATCAGAAACTGGAACTCGTTCCTAACAGCTTATCTTCATTCAGATGATTACAGGTGCAAGCAAAACAACAGTCGTTAAGGGAGAACAGAGATCCTATTATAACCAAGAACTCTCACAGACAGTTTTATATTTTCATGTTTAATAAAGCTTCCCCCCCCCCTTCCATATAAAGCTTTCCATCAAAGGCTTTCCAAGCATGTCATAAAGGCAGGTGAGTGTTACATCATCATCATTCCCATTTTACAAACAGGAAACTGAGGTCCAAAAAAAGTCATTTGAGCAGGGTAAAACAGCAAATCCCAGCCCAAACCAGAAACGGAATCAAAACCTCCTGGCAAAAATCCCCTTGTCCAACTACCTCTATTTAGTTGCTATGCAGCATTATTTTTTTTTTTTTTGGGGGGGGGGGTAAAAATAACCCAACCAGTCAAACAAAGAGAGAATGGAAAGGAAATTGCAAGCTTCAACATACTTACTTTGATACTGCTGGCATTAGTACAAAAATAAAGATTTTTATTAACTAGTTTACAAAAATAAAGTCTATTGATGAGTCATGCAGGATCTCATCGGGGGGGTTATTTGACTTTGGAAGATAAAGCCTGTTTGAAACGTCTCTTTAGATCTTGCATGTTGGGAGATTTGGGCCGAGGGATGATGGACGACCGCCTCCTGTCTGTGCTGCCAGCGTGCTGTAGTTTGCTGATCTCCTTGCAAAGATACTGGAAAACATCGCAGACACCTTGGGATTCATCACTTGTGGAGATTTCCAAGAACAGGCTGCCCAATTCATTTGCCAGCTGTAGTCCCTCTTTCGCCTGGACTTGCCTGGCATGGAGGAGGTCGGCTTTGTTCCCCACGATAATGACCGGAGTCCTGGCATCTGGGTGGACCTTGCGTATGTGCTGGTAGAGAGGTCGGACTGACTGGTAGCTGCTGTAGTCTGTGATGGAGTAGACCAGGAGGAAGCCTTCTGCCCACTTCACACACCTGGACAGGGAGTCCAGCACCTGCATGCAGTCTTCCTGCACCTGCGGTACGACAGAGAGCACGGATTTGGCATCGGGTCGTGCCAGTATAACGCCTGCATCATAGACAGCACCGTTCAATGGGTCCAAAGGGAAGCCTGAGCTCAGTCTTCGGAGACTAAGTCTGGCCTTATAGGGAACTGGGGTGCAGAAGCCGAGCCTTTAGGCGGCAGAGAAGCGTCTCCATACCTGGATGCACCCCGGCGTGTCTTGGATCTGCACGGCAACGTGGTCGCCCTCCAGATGGACCAGCCTGGAGTAGAGGTTGCCTGTGGGGCAGAGAGCTGTCAGGCATAAGCCGCCCCCGCGGGGGCCCCCGCCGCGCCCCGCCGCCTCACCTGTGTTGGGCTCGTAGTCCCCGATGAACCGCTTCGTCAGGAACCGCACGATCATCGCTGAAACACAGAGCGGCCGCGTTGGGCGGGACGGACGGAGAGGGGAAGGGGGGCCGGACGGAGAGGGGAAGGG